GGGTGGGTGGGTGGGTGGGTGGGTGGATGGATGGATGGATGGATAGATAGATAGATAGATAGATAGATAGATAGATAGATAGATAGATAGATAGAGCTAAAACTAAAGGAAAGGAAGGAAAGAGAGCATGCTGTCTGAAAACAGAAAATCAGTTTGGCTGTTCTGAGACACTGTCATGTGCATAAATGTCTCTTTCATTTACTGATTTTATCATCTTAAAGTAAGGAGGATGCTAAGTAATAATGACAGGAATTTGCAGTGCTCTGGCTTGCGCTTCTCTTTGCCTATTTGTCTGTGTTAGTTTTCTACTAACAATATCGATTTTGTGTCTAACCTGCTTCTCTTCTTCCGGCTTTTCCCTGCCTGTGGACTCTTCGGGAATGGGTTCCTCTACTTCTTTTCTTTCGGCGTTTTCCTGCCTATGGACTCTTCGGGACTGGGTTCTTCTTGTCACAGAGCTATAAGAAAGCTATAGACGAGGTCAGTACTACCCTTTCTCGGCCATGCTTTCACAAGAGGTGACAATTAAACCCATTTCCTGATGTTGACATGCAGACAGGAGGCCAGTGGGATTGTGGGAAAAGCCTTGTTTGAGGGGAGAGCCCATTCTAAAGAAGCCAGCCCAAGACCTTCATATGTACTCATAAAAAGCTTTAGAGTCCTTCACTAAGTGAAAACATTGCTTTCCCAATGTCCCAACCAGGCGAACAGTAGGTACTAGTGTCTTGTTAATGTGTGGTTTCTCCGTCCAGCACCTTCTGATAAAAACCCATGTTCAGCATCCTTGCTAGTAGATGGTCCTCAGTGGTTTTCTAACAAAGCAGAGACACAATTCTTACATACCCCAAATTTATAGTGTATGATTTGTGAGCAAGGAGTTTACTGTATGCTGTTAGAATAATTTTGTGGGGCAGCCACACCACCACAAGCAACACCAGCCTTTGCTACTGAGCCCAGGTGAGTCGAGTGATCGAGTTCCTCATCTGTGGAGATGTTTTTCTACTAGAGAAGCACATGGCATTGTCTACTATAGATAGTTGCTGAGTATGACCGCCTCGCAGTTTGTCAAGCTTGCATGAGCAGAGAGAAGTGGAACCGTTCTGAGCAGACAGGCCTTGCAGAGTCCCGGATGCATGAAATGGGAGGTTTACTATTATGGCTTCCAGGTTGTAGCTCCACAGAGGACATATTTTGTGAAATTATATGGAAAAAACACTGGCTTCGGGGATCAGCAGCTACATTTGAAGTTTGGCTCCCCTTGGTGAACACTAGCTAGGATAACTCTCGTAATCTCAGTCAGTTTACTAGTCTGAAGAATGGGAATAAAAACAGCTATGCACCTTTACCCACAAACTTGTTTGGGCCCTTAAGGCCACGTGTGCAAAAACTTTTTTTTAAAGTAGAAAGTACTTGTTCAGAGTTGAGCCATAGACACAGAACTAACTTTGCGAGTAAGGAAGTTTGAGTCTGTGAATCTGTTTTTCACTGTAGCTGTGACCACCACACATTCATAGTGAGTCAGAAAGTCCCACTCCTGGTGAAGGTGTCGCTGCTGATAGTGGCGCTCCCCACGGGTCTACAGCAGGGACTGTCTATAATCACTCTGCACCATGGCCTTGCTTTTCCTCATAGTAGCAAAGATGGCGGGGCTATCCCAACTTTTTAAACTAGTCACCCAGAGCAGGTAATGAAAGAAAATTATTTTCTGGTACTGGGTACTGTAACTGTCAATAAAGTAGTATTCATATCAACAATTTAAGGGTCCAGACATTGATATGGAGGTGGCTGTCATAAGGAAAAGGGCTCTCCTAGGTCTCATCTGGTTAGCCCTGGATGGTTCAGGTTTTTGGTAAATCGCTTCATTGATTTTGGTATGCTCCACCACACCAGATAGAGATGAGGAATAGACACCCTCATGCTAAAATCTCTGGGATGTACATCAGGGCAAATGCCCTCAGTGCACTGACAGCTCTGACCCTTAAGCATAAGTGACCCGAACCACTCAAAACCTAGGAGACGACCCTCCTACCCCAGCAACTCCTATGGCCCTGCCTACTCCAGGGGTTCCTAGCCCTGATTGCTACCCTGCTTTCACCTAGGAGCTAATGAGCAAAATCTGAAGTTAGTTGTAGTTGCTACACTTGAAAGTAGAGGCGGAGCTACTGGCAGCTTGTCCATACATTAAAAGAGCGGAGCTAAGCATCCTACACCGGGCAGTCCTTCACAGTAAGAGGTCCCCTGGGCCCAGCTCTGTCACCCGTCTCTGTTCCTAGGGTTTGATATGACTTTCCTTCTGTAGCTGTTTTCCTGTTTGGATGATGCAGAATGAAATTCAAATAAGTCTTTAAACACCTTTTGAAAACATATTTCGTATTATTGGTAATTCAGTAGTTTAATTTTTCATAACAAAAAATCCCAAAGGTTGATATTAATTTAGCATTACTTTCTAAAGTACTATGAAATTTTGCAACATTGTTATTTAATACAACTTTTGAAGACAAACACCCTTTACTTTCCCATAACTGAATGTGTGTCATGAAGTCTGTGTGCAGAAGCAAACTCTGGGTGTGGAGGTTAGGTTTTTATTGGGGTAAAGAAAGATCTGAGCAATTCTAAAATCACCCATTGATGGGTTGAAATATACGTAATGATTAGTAAGCTGGACTCTTTTTCCTTCAGATGGGTCCACTGAATTTAAGGGGTGCACCCCGTGTCTCTCCTTTAGCTTTCCTAAGAAGGGGGGAAACGCAACACAGAAACAAAAGATCAGATTAAAATTCGCTAACAATATAATGGCTCAACCAGTGCGAGTAAAATTTGAATCAGTTATATTATTTCAAACAAAAAGAAACCGAAATGAGCATATTTTGAAGCAAGACATTCTGTAACCGTCAGATGAAACAAGCCCTCCAGGATGAAAAGTTATGTCATGAAGAAGCTGAGAAATGCCGCGTCCAAGCCCCCTTTGGATGGGAGCCCCTACCGCCTTCACATTAGCTCTGTGGGAAGAAATGGAGTATTTGGGCCACATCTCTTTTTTAGTTAATACGTTCTCAAATATTTGCTAAATAGCACTTCTATTCCCCCATTTTACACTTCTTAGCTGCAGGCTCGAGACAGCCAAGCAATAAATTACCATAAAAGGCTTATTATATGGAGGAAATTGGAATTGTCAGAGAACAAAGTGTATGAAAATGCATCCGAACCCAGCAGTGACAATATTGCATCATGTCTATTTCCCGCAACTTTGATTGTGTCCTTTTTCTTCATCGTGAGCATACGAGGAACAAAAGCTCAGCTAGCCACAAAGGCTGCTGGCACTGGGAGATTAATTTTGTTCAAGGGCATTACTCTTGATTACTCCATTATTGCTACCTTGAAATTTTCATTTGTGTCCCACTCTCCAAGATGTTGCCAATTAAACTGAAATAGATTCGCAATTATTTTTATGTTTCATGAAAGAGCTTTTTAATGACACAGAAATAAAAATTTCTGATTAAAACCAAAATTATAAAGCAGATCTTAATTTTGAAGCATTGATAAATACAGAATTTAGGGAAATGTAGGTCATTTTAACAAGTGAAACTTTCTTGAAGTTGTTACTGGCTTATGGATTTACTAAATAATTCTAAATAGATTGGATTTTTAAAAATCTCTCTGTCTTATCTTGTTCTGAACTGTCAGAGATAAGGAAGCCATGACCGGGGGAAAAATGTATCATTAATTTAAATAAGTCATAGAGGTAGTATTATATTTTACTCAGACTTTCTGATAGTAGAAACTAGCCTCTTTAAACCATATTCTCTCTTTAAATCATAATTAAGAATAGTTTTTAATATTTAAAATTTTAAATATTAGTTATTTTCATTGATAGTCTTACCTTATTTTAAAACCCTAAATATGCAATAACTGTGTCTAATCTGTCACTTTTGCTAGTTGGGAAGCTCACCCTGTCCTCTTGCTCTCCGAGTCTTGACAATCTGTCAACAGTTTGTCCCCATTGTGCCCATCTAGCATGTTCTTCATACACTTTCTGTTTGATAGAGATAAATGTATCCGCAGCAATCAAGAGGAAATACGCGGAAGGGCGAAAGCTAGCCATTAGCCTTTCCTGGTTTGGGTGCATTGCCTAAGAAACTAGAAATAAATGTGCGTAAAAATTCTCTGTGTTGGGGAGGGGCTTTCCCCTTCTATAATATGTTTTCTTCAGACATCGTTAAGCCTTTCGGACCCAACTCTCCATTCACTTTCACAGACGGCGGGGACTGGGGTTGTGTGTTTGAGGGAGTGTGCATGTATGGGCAGCCCCAGCAAGTGTGTGTTTGGGTAGAACACGCAGTTGGGATTTCCAGAAGCCTCCCCTTCATGGGACCTTCAGGTGACTTCGGGACATTATGACTTTCCTTTTGAGACATGATATTAAAAGGAAATGATTCTGACTCGTTCACTTGACAACATTTCCTAAATTTTAGTGAAGCACCAAAGTGATTGCCCCATGAGTGTTGACCAAAATAGTGGTGCTTGCCATGTGACCGCAGTACAGCAATGCCATGGCGTATGGGTTCCTCAAAATTATAACTACCATTAGCTATGCATGTTTATCATAATCTTTCTTCTGATTGGGATTGAGCACTTACGTCACTGAGGTGATGTAATCATACATCAGGTGAATTGGACAAATACATTTCTGAACTGAAATAAAGAGAGAATATGGCCAATTATTTTTTTGGGGAAAAAATGTGGGATTTAGTCTTTTTCAACGAGTTTCTCTCTCCCTAACTCCCTGTCTCTCGCTGAATGCTCTGGTCCCCACATGGGCCCCTAAATAGGGAGAAATGGTAAGACCAACGTCAAATTGCTTCTTCCTCATCTGCATGCTTCGTGCCATGGGCAGTTTAACCCATGCAAAGTAGAGCAGCCATGCTTCTGCAGAACTGCCTCCCTCCGCCTTGCTCTGAAAGCATGCCCATCAAGGTAGTCAGGCGTTCAGCACACTGTCTTGCACTATGCCTGGTGACCAAGTCCTGCCTCATCACATCCATAAGGCTAAGGGGTTCATCACACTCATGGAAAATGATCTCTTCCTTTGGGTGTTTACACATCATTTCAGCATTCTTGTGAGGGGTTCTGCCAGGTGACTGGAATTTAAAACTTAAAGATGAAAAACACCTGTCGTGCTGGAAGAGAACTGATCGTTTGTTTGTTTGTTGTTTGTTGTTTGTTTGTTTGTCATTCCTCTTGATTGACGTATTCCTGTGGCTCTAAATTTTAGGGACACTAGGATTTGGGGTGGGCTATCATTTGATGTGGTACCTTTGTTCTTTGGGGAATGACTTCACACCAAATGAACCTTGGTAACTGTTCTGTTTTACAATTGAGGCTAGATTATGGTCCAGTAGCCTTCACGAGAGAGGAAAGGCCATCATTGGGGCTTTGGCGGGAATTCCACAATACTTGGGGAACAAATTATAATGCCCTTTATTTTCCCATTCAAGTCTGAGGGTGACCAATCTCATCCTCTCAAAAGAGAAAGAAAGACAATATTTTTATGTATGCGCATGCACATGGCACGGCATGCACATATATGCACACGCGTAGTCAGTCCCAGTCTGACACACACATGTCACATGCACTGTTAGTTCTGGTCTAGCTATTGATTTTGAACAAAGTTTGAATTTATCTCATCTCCCGCCTCTTAGTTTCTCCACACAAACATCATTTTCTTAGTTCCATACAGTAACTGTGTTTGTCACAGTTCTCTGTTGAGCTTCTTCCTTTCTTTTTTTTTTCTTGTTGCTTAAGCTGGAGCAATGACTGGCTGGGAGATACAGCTTTGGTTGCACCTACACTTCATGCACTTACAAACTTTTCTTTCATAGGACCTGACGGCATTAGCTAAAGAATTAAGAGAACTCCGGATTGAAGAAACAAACCGCCCACTGAAGAAAGTGACGGACTACTCCTCCTCCAGTGAAGAGTCAGAGAGCAGTGAGGAGGAAGAGGAAGATGGGGAGAGTGAGACACACGATGGGACAGTGGCTGTCAGTGACATCCCCAGACTAATGTAAGACATTATTGGTATTGCTGTTGTTGTTTTGAGATAGAGTCTGTAAGTTGTTCCTGTACTTGCCCTAAGTGTCTGTGCTTGAGCTATCCTCCTGTCTCAGCCTCAGGCATAGCTGGAACTATAGATACTTAGCACCACACTGTAACATGAAGGGGCCTGCTCACTGGGGTTTCTGTCCCACCCGGTACCCCACAGCCGGCAAGCCCCAAAGAAAATCACACAGAGATCTCTATATGTTATAAAGCTGATTGGCCCATTTGCTCAGGCTACTTACTAGCTCTTGTAGCTTATATTAACCCATTATTCTGATCTATTTTAGCCATATGGCTCTGTATCTTTTTCAGCTGGCAGATCACATCCTGCTTCCTCAGTGGTCTGCACAGGACTGGGAGGAATCAGCTTCCTCCTTCCCAGAATTCTCCTGTTCTAATTGCATCACCTCTACTTCCTGTCTGTTTTTTCCACCTATACTTCCTGCCTGGACAATCAGTGTTTATTTAAAACATGATTGACAGAATACAGACAATTCTCCCACAACACCATGCCTGGATCCAGACTGTTTCTCACATGAAGACCAGAAAGGGACTGAGTCTCCAAACCAAAACATGAGAAATATTAGCTATAAACAAATCACACACAAGTCAGTGACCAAGTGAGCAGGCTTTGGGGAATTGAGTTCTTCTCAGAACATAATCTACAGCTGTCTCTTGGCCTAGCTTCTGTCACCTAGAGCATGTGGCACTGCTAGGCCTGTGTATGCCCTGCCTGCCCATTTGCTATTGGATTCACTATTCTTTAGATGGCTCTTGTTTTTTGTTTTCATCTCAAAGACAAACAATATGGACAGCAAGGCCACTGGGACACATCCCTCCACCTGTAAATAAGAGAATAAGATCATGGGCAGTGATATTATAAACAGGAGACACATATTCCACCTACCACCATGGCCAACAATAAGCAAAAACGAATGCACATGGTGTCAGGTGTTAGCAACCCAATGAAATAATCAAGAGGCAAATAGCCATTCAAGGACATAATGAGTATTACTGTTTTTTTACCCCATGCTCTTCAGTGTCTTTTTTCTTTTTGTATGCGTATCTATATGTGTACATGTGTGCTGATGTTGACATGTATGCAGTGTGTATGCTATACATATGTGCATGTCCATATGGAGGCCAGAAGTCAACCCTGGATGCCATTCTTCAGATGCTGTCCACCTTTTTGGAGACAGGTTCCCTCGCTGACCTGGTGCTCACTGGCTCTCCTGCCTCCACCTCCTCAGTTCCAGGAGTACAAGTACTAGACCTGGCCTTCATGGTTACATGGCAAGCATTTCACTCACTGAGCCATCTCCTCAGACCTTGATTCTTTTTCTTGTCACCAGCACCTTCACATATTCTTGTCAAATTCTTTAAGTCTTATCTTTGTATATTTCTGTCCCCATATGTGCCTGCCTATATTTCCCCAAATCATTCTGGTTTTTACTTTTGTTTCTTCCCTCAGCATGAGTAGGAAGCTCAATGGGTTTTGTACATCAGAGTGAGTTGATTCTTGGGTTGGTTGCCCACATCCCACTCTTTTTTTGCTTTTCTAACTCCTCCCAGAATATATATATATATAAGGGGTCACTACCCAAGGTTGCCATAAGTTTGATGAAATGTCATGCTAACTTCCCCATCTTCACTCTCATTCCCCTCCATCTCTTCAGATTATCTGTCAGTATTGACCACCAGAACATGACGACTCTATTGAAAGATGTCGTAAGATAATAAGTATTGTCCTGCTCGCTAGACTACAGGACAGGGCCAGTCTTCAGAGGGTGCCACCCAAGCAGTTCTGAGAGGCAAATCTAATAACCATCATTGTAAATCCATGCTTGTGTTGGCTATTCAATTATTGACAACTATAAATATGCTAAGATATGATATTTTGAGACAAATTATGCTAAATTGTCTTATAATAGCAAATAAAATTGTTCTAGAGGCAGAACTACTAAGCCTGAGCATCTATACAAAACATGCTAATCGTTTCCATTTTGTCTTGACTCAGCATTGTTCATTTCTCCTAGCTGATGTTTAAAGTTCTCTTAAACACTGGGCATACAATTGCTGGGATAATAATTGTGAAATTAAAAGAGTCCTACAATTCCCACTACAAGTTAAATCCTGTGCTGAGGACGTTGAGGCATCTGGAGAGTGTGTACTTATAGTCTGCCTTCAAAGTTCTTCTTTACAGAGATAAATTATAAATGAAAGAATGCAAGGTAATCTAATCATTTGGGCCAACCACAGACAATTTGTGGAAAAGCATAAAAGAACTTTCTAAGCCCCTATCATATTTTGTAACTCCATGAATGCTATTTCCCATCCAGCCTCTGAAGGAGAATTAGAACTTATTCTTCAGGACAAAACATCTATTTTCTAAAATTCCCAAAATAGACTGCATTGTGCTTCTCTCTGCCATCTGCTCGTCTGTCCATTTGGAAATCACCTACCCACAGCCTAGCCTGCTATGAAGAACCATCCATTTCTGTCCCTTCCTCCCCCTTTTCCATTGCCACTATTTCCCCAGTAGTCCTAAAGTTTGAATGTCATATCTTGAGTCAGGATTGTTGCCATGTTTTTCTCCCTGTTGAGCTGAGAACGTTCCTGAGGATGGGATAGTGGCTTATCCATCTCTCTACTCTGAAGACTTTGTTGTGTCTGGAATTGAGCGTCTTTCCAATAATTCTCCAAATCAACCATGATTTAATCACACTGAGCCAAAATGGCAAGACCAGACCTATGGCCTGATCCAAAGGAAAGGCATGGATGTTAGTAACCTGAATAATAGTCAGAAAGACAGGTAAGTACACAGAATAGGACCAGAAAATCCAGGCAGAGGAAGACTTGAAAAAAACACATAGAAGACTATATATGGTGTAAACATGAAGTTGTCACAGTAGAGGAGAATGTTTGGGTCAGAAAACACCAGAGCAATAATGTACACATTAGCATGCAACCATTGAAAACTGTTTGTATCTTGAGCCAGAGTATTACATCATCAGTGCTGTGTTTGAGGGAGGGCATTTCAGTGGGACAATTTGGACACTGGCAAAGCCATTCACAGGATCTGTTACTATAACTCTGCTTACAAATGATAAGCTAAGGCTATAGTAGAGACAAGACCTGATGTAGCTCTTAAAGACCTGGAAATTTTAGATAGACTGAAATGATTGTCCATTGAAGACTATACACACTCAGAAAAGGGAGACAAAGAGAAGTGTGTGTTTATGTGTGTGTGTGTGCTGTATATTTCAGTTTGGTCTGAATTATATGTTTTTTTTTTCACGAGGATTAAGAACAGATACAGTCTGTTCTCCAACACACCTTAGAAACTTTATACTATTAAAACTCTATTATAAAACAATTACTTCTACACACATTAAATGCTTTGGGGCTACTGTCTCTTTGTACATGTTCTTACCGCCTTCATATTCTTTTGTTAAAATGAACTTTCAAGTTTTATGTTGTATATTTTTAGAGAAAATAGAAATACATTGTAACACAAGTCACTCCTGGGAAGTGCACACAGAATGAGCTTCTCAGAAATGGAGGTCCAGGCTTTCACACAAGCAGCCCTGGTTCCAGTGTTCAGAAAAGAAATCATCCTAGTACCGTTTCATACTGTTGCCTACCATGTAATCTGTAGAATTCCCCTTAAGTTTGAGCTCCCCATCTAGTTGATTGCATTTTGCAACACCTCCTGGTGGGATGGGGGGCACTAGGGAGTGGAAAAAAATAGCCCCAGAGCATAAGTGATTAAAACTGATGTAAGAGTTGTAAAGAACTTTTAATATATGTATATCACTAAAGTATATGATAGACATGGATTATTATAGCCAGGAAAAGTAAAAGGTTTATATGATAGCAAGAACAAGGGCAGTTTGCATCATGTGGAGCAAGCTAAAAGGTACCCTTTGTGTCAGTGTGCTTCCTGCAATCCCAATCCAGGCTTCAGACTGTAAGGCGCTGGCTATGGGTTGACCAGGTGGCTCAGTGATTAAGAAGCTTCATTGCTCTTCTAGAGGATGGAGTATAGGCCTGAGGCCTACACCCAGTGACATACTATAACCTGTAACTCCAGCTCCAGGAATCAACACCCTTTCCTACCCTCCCAGGCACCCACACACATGTGCCATACACTCATAAATACACGTAAATGAAAATATTTTTTAATAAAAAAGTAAGTCCAGATAGTGACCATGTAGTCCTAACACAATTCATTTTACCAGTCCCATGACGTCATCTAGATAACGAAAGCTGCGTGGCTTCCTTTTCCCTCCTTCCACTCTCCCTAAAGCACCATGGTTCCAGCCCGTCACCGGCCTCCTCAGCTATGCAGTGCCTCCTTTGAAGGCCTTTGACCTCCCGTGCTTTTTCATGCTCTGGGGTGACTGGCCACACTGTACCCCTCAGTCCTACAAGCCCTTGCATTCCTGCAACCAATGATTGCCCTGGCACATTCCAGCCAACGGAAGCCTCCAGCGTCCCGACAGTCGCGGAACCCTTTCCCAATGCACTCCTTTCCTCAGAGCCACAGTCCCTACCCTCGTCCCTGTCCCTTCGTCCTGCAGTCCTGCCTTGGGTCCCTACCCTCTTCCGGCAGTCCTGCCTTGGGTAGGAGTGATCCGCAGCACCCCTCTGCTCTGTAGAGAGTCAGTGCTTCAGCCGAGCAATCGCACCGTGCCAGGATTTTCTATCCACTCCCCTCTGCCAAACCAAGGACCTTTCAGAAAGCAGGTGCCCAAAAGCATGTATTGTATTGAACTGAATTGAATCAGTCCCTCTAGGAGCACTTTGACAAATCCAATTAGAGGGAATTATTGTTCCAAACCAGCACTCTCATTACAGGAAATTTCCTGTATTTTTTTTTCATCTGAATCAGTGGTAGGATTTTATTGCTTGTTTTGATTTAATTTGTCTTTCACGATCTCCATAGGATTACGGATAGCTAAT